AGGCTGATCAATATAGGCACCGAACCTTGTATATTGAAACACCAGCAGGCTGATAAATATACCGACCACATCCTGTATACTGTAACTCGAGCACACTGAAAAATACACACACCACACCTTCTATACTGCAACCCCAGCAGGTTTCTGAATATACTGACCACACCTTGTATATTATAACCTCAGTAAGGCTGATAAATATACCCACCGCACCTTGTATACTGTAACCCCGGTAGGCTGATAAATATACCCACTGCACCTTGCATACTGTAACTCTAGCTGGCTACTAAAACATATACCCACCGCACACTGTATACTGTAACCTCAGCAGATTGATAAATAAACCTACCGCACCTTGTATACTATAACCCCAGCAGGATGATAAATATATCCACCCCACCTTTTATGCACTAACCCCAGCAGGCTGATAAATATACACACCGCATCTTGTATACTGTAACACCAGCTGGCTGATAAATATACCCACCGCACTTTGTATGTTGTAGCCCAATCTGGCTGATAAATATATCCACCGCACCTTATACACTGTAATCCCTGCAGGCTAATAAATATACCCACCGCACATTGTATACTGCAACACCAGCAGGCTAATAAATATACTCAACACACCTTGTATACTCTATCCCCAGCAGGATGATAAATATACGCACCACACTTTGTATGCTGTAACCCCTGCAAACCGATAAATATAACCACCCCCACCTTGTACACTGTAACCACAACCAGCCAATAAAAATACCCACCTAACCTTGTATACTGTAACACCAGTAGTTTGTTAAATATACCAACCGTATCTATCATAATATAACCACAGCTGGCTGATAAATATATCCGTCGCCCACTGTATAGTGTAACACCAGCAGGCGTATAAATATACTCACCGAACCTTGTATGCTGTATCCCCGGGAGGCTGATAAATACACACACAATACGTCGTATACTGTAACACCAGCAGGCCGATGAATATACCCACCGAACCTTGTATACTCCAGCAGGATGATAAATATACCCACCTCACCTTTGATAATGCGACCCTAACATGCTGATAAATACACCCACGGCAGCTTGTATACTCTATACCAAGCTGGCTGATAAATATACCCAACGCATCTTGTATGCTCTAACCACAGCACGCCGGTAACTATACACACAGGACCTTGTATACTGCAACCCAAGCTGGCTGATAAACATACACACCGTACACTGTATAGTCTAACACCAGCAGGAGTATGAATATACCCACCGCACCTGAATGTGGTAAGCCTATGAGGCTGATAAATATACACACAACACGTTGTACAGTGTAACCCCAGCAGGCTGATGGAGATACCTACCGCACTATGTATACTGTAACACCTGCAGGCTGATAAATATGCGCACCATACTTTGTATACTGTAACCCCAGCGGGTTAATAAATATACCCACCGCACTATGTATACTGTAACACCAGAAGGTTGATAAATATACCCACCTCACCCTGTATACTGTAACTCGAGCAGACTGATGAATACAACCACCGCACCTTGTATACTGCACCCCCAGCAGGCACCTAAATATACTCACCACATCTTGAATGCTGTAAACCCAGTAGGCTGATAAATATACCCACCGGACATTGAATACTCTAACTCCATCTGGCTACTAAAATACACTCCGCACACTGTATACTGTAACCCCATTAGGCTGATAAATATACCCACCGCACCTTGTTTATTTTACCCTCAGCAGGGTGATAATTAAATCCACCACACCTTGTATACTCTAACCCCAGCAAGATGATGAATATATCCGCCCCACCTTCTGTGCTCTAACCCCAGTAGGCTGATAAATATAGTCACCGAACCTTGTTTATTATACTCCAACTGGCTGATAAATATACCCACTGCACCTTTATACTGAAACCACAGCATGCCGATAAATATTCCCACCTTATACATATCCCAAGACCGCTGATAAATATACCCAGCGCACATTCTACACTTACCCCAGGAGGCTGATAAATATACACAGCTCACAATGTATACTGTAACTCCAGCATGCTGAGAAATATACACACCACACCTTGTGTACTGTAATCCCAGTAGGATGATAAATATACCCACCGCACCTTGTATGTTGTAACGCCAGCTGGCTGATAAATATACCCAACGCAAATTTTATACAATAACCCCAGCACGCTGGTAAATATACCACCTCACATTGCTTACTGTAATCCCAGCATGCTGATAAATATACCCACCGCACCTTGTACACTTTAAACCCAGCAGATTGATAAATATATCCACCCCACCTTTTTACTCTAACCCCAGCTGGCTTATAAATATACCCACCGCAACTTGTATACTGCAAGCCCAGCAGGCTGACAAATATACACACCGAACATTGTATACTGTAACGACAAGTGACTGATAAATAAACCGACCTCATCTTTATACTCTACTTCCAGCATGCTGATAATTACAACCAGCGCACCTTGTATACTGTAACCCCAGATGTCTGATAAATATACCCACCGCACATTGTATACTGTAACCCCAGCAGGCTGATAAATATACCCACCGCACATTGTATAGTGTAACCCCAGCAGCATGATAAACATATACACCGCACCTTTTATACTCTAACCCCAGCAGGCTGATAAATATACCCACTTCACCTTGTAGACTTTAATCCCAGCTGGCTGATAAATATACCCACCGCACCTTGTATACTGTATCGCCAGCAGACTGATAAATATACCCACCGCACATTGTATACTGCAAACCCAGCAGGCTAATAAATATACTCACCGCACCTTGCTTACTGTAGCCACAGCCGGCTGATAAATATACCCACCGCATCTTGTATACCGTACATCTAAGACTTTTTTCTATATTTTGCTGTGCCAATCGCATCCAAATCGCCAGTGCACTAACCAAATCCCGTTTAACTAAAGCGGACAACAACACAAGTAGGTATGGTCTGCGTGTCGATAGTGTAATCGACTCACATTTGTGCAGTTCGTTGCATGAGATTTTTGGCGTCACTGGTTGTCTGATTTCATCTTTGTTGTAAAAAACTGGATGAGTGTTTTACAGTAACGTACAATACGTAGCAAGAACTATGACGTCTTCTCTCGTGGAAAGACAAAATATATATCAGATACGCTACTTGCTTTCAGTAAGATAAAAGATAAAAGGGAAGATAGAAGTGTTTAACTTCTGTTTCCGTGAAATAAAAATGTTTTCAATTTCAAATCTTTTCCTTTGTACCCCCTTACTTCTTAAAATAACGACCAGCATTCATATTGTCGGAGTTACCTCCTCCTTCGATCCTTAAACCGGAAGAGGAACATGTCATCTCGACCTTGACCTCTCGTTTGTGTTCCATATACACTGTAAACCCGTGGTAGAGACTAGCAAGTTCCCTTTTTAGTTAAGTTATATTACAAACCTAGTTGTAATATACTCCTAGACATTTTTAGGCCATAGTTCTCTCTAGCTAACCTCAACGTATTTTATTATAGAGCCTTTACTGTTAGATTATCCAATTCACTTGCTGGTCTCCCTTACCAGAAGACAGTGGCTTCTCACTAAATTCACCAGAGGGGTCGGCGACTGAAACGGTCGGATACACAGGCTCCTGGCCGCGAAGGCCAGGAACGTCGATCATCGGGCTGCGTATTAAGTTACGCTCCTATATTTTTTTGTCTGCCAACTTGACGATAGTTGGAAACTTTCCTTTCTCTCTCTCCTTCGCCTACTACTCCCTGGCTTCTGTTCAACTCTCGGCATTCCGTCCCTTCTGGCTGCCCGCACGTCGTCCTTAACCTTTCCCGTACACTATGTTAGTAATTATTACGGGAGGTTGCTAATATCGGACTCGACCGGCAAACACCCAACGCCTGCACTGGACCTGTGACATGCCCGAACATCGCCAGCTCTTCTTTCCTTCCCAACACGTCCAGTTGGCATCCCGGCAACGACCAACATCAACTTCAACAATCAACTGCGATGATCCTGCCAACAACCAACATCAACTGCGACAACCAACAGCGATCATCACGGCCAACAATCAACTTCAACAAGCAAAAGCGATCATCCTGGCAACTACCAACACCAACCTCGACCATCAATGCCTGCACTAGAATTTCTGCGTCTCTACCGTCCGACCACTTTTATTTCTTTTTCTAGAATAAATTAGCATATATCATATATATCCTCGTTCTGTCGTCTATATTGTTTCACCGTCAGATTTAATGTCTTCACAAATGTTAGCGGGCCTCTTGTGACATCATTCACCCTTGTGTGATATGGGGCCGCTCGGGGGTACCGCTACAATATCTATGATTGTTATTGCAATATTTTGTTAGAGTTATTAAGCTTAAATATTTAACGATAAGATAGAGGAATTTCTACGCATATTTTATTGCTTTAGAACTCGCCATGAACCATTAACTGAAGAATTAAGTTCTATTTTTCAGACGCATACTATCGAACGACAGAAAGCAAGTAAGGTAATCGCCAAAATTCCAATTGCCATAAATTAAATAACGTCATCTGCTGAATTATTTTTGAATTATTATTAAGAGAAATGCTCGTAAGACAGGGATTTGGCTAGAAAGAAATAAATATATAAGAAAGAAAGAAAACAATAATGAATGAAAGAAGATAAAAGTGTTAACTTCTCTTGCCAATATCTCCTGAATAATGTATTTTTCCTTTTTGATTGTGTATAAAGCGGGGAAAAGACACTACTTGATTTCAGGGAAAGAAAGAGAGAAAGACAGAGAAGAAAGAAAGAAAGAAAAATATAGAGAAATAAAAATAGAAAGAAAGAAGTAAGAAAGAAAGAAGTAAGAAAGAAAGAAAAAGGAAGAAAGAAAGAAAGGAAGGAAGGAAGAAAGAAGATAAAAGTGTTAACGTCTCTTGCCAATATCTTATGAATAATTTACTTTTCCCTTTTGATCGTGTGGAAAGCGGAGAAAAGACACTACTTGATTTCAGGGAGAAAGAAAGAAAGAAAGAAAGAAAGAAAGAAAGAAAAGACAGAGAAGAAAGAAAGAAAAATAGAAAGAAAGGAAGAAGTAAGAAAGAAAGAAACAAAAAAGAAAGAAAGAAAGAAAGAAAGAAAGAAAGAAGATAAAAGTGTTAACGTCTCTTGCCAATATCTCATGAATAATGTACTTTTCCCTTTTGATCGTATGAAAAGCGAAGAAAAGACACTACTTGATTTCAGGGTGAAAGAAAGAAAGAAAGAAAGAAAGCAAGAAAGAAATGTTTGACGGTTGTTTGAGTAAAATGGAAAAAGTTGTCAATTTCAAATCTTTTCATTTGTACCCCCTAATTTCTTAAAATAACAACCAGCATTCATATTTATGATTGTTATTGCAATATTTTGTTAAAGTTGTTAAGCTCAAATATTTAACGATGCAATCGAGGAATTTCTCCGGTTATTTTATTGTTGTACAACTCGCTATGAGCATATTCAATCATTAACTCCTAAGTTAAGAATTAAGATTCATCAGAAAATTTAAATAGGAAAACCGTAATATTTTCATTGGTCTTTCTAGTGGATCTTAATTTTTAAGTTAATAATTGAATAAGCTCATAGCGAATTCGACAACTACTAAATAGTTGTAGGTAATTCCCTTATTTCTTCTATGTACTCTATTCTTTCAGGACGAGGGCGATCATGTCTATCTCTTGTGGCTGTTAGCAGCATTTCTCTCTTCGCCCAAAATCTCGCTACCCGTAACGCCATCCATTCAGACAAGCGTGTCTGTTACGTGACCTTCTACATTCTCTTATCTCTCTTGCTCTTGTTATGGCCTGTGAAGGTTACATTATTCAAGCTCTCCTTGTGTCCAAGAAATTTCATCGCTTTCTGATTCAGAGGTTCTTTCTGTTGCCATTTTCTTTAAGACTTTCTCGTTGCTTACTAGCTACGTCTGCGGAATTCTCAGTATCCTTCTGTGGAGCCACATATCTGTTTACGCTATTATGCCTTCTTCGGGTCGTTTTCCGTGTCTAAATTGTCATATTCATGCTCCGGCCTTCTTCAGCTAATATAATCTAAAGAAAGATGGTGCGTACAACGGCCGCTGCGTCGTGAATATGGCAATAAAGATGGGAACAAAAGTACGAACAATGTAAAATAGTGTAAATAGTTAAAATGCCTCACCTCAGAAATATAGACAGATCCTGAGGAAGGCTGGAGCGTACAACGGCCGAAACATTGTGAATATGGCAATAAAAATGCGAACAACAGTCCAAACAATTTAAATAATGTAAATAGTTACAATACTACATCACAGAAATATAGAGCCAATATATATATATATATATATATATATATATATATATATATATAAATATAAAAGTGAACATAGAACATCGTCAGGCCACATGTGGAATCGTCAGGCCACATGTGGCCTGACGATTGCATATAACATGAAACAGACTGTCGCCTCTAAGTGTTGACTTTATGTTCACTTTTATATTTACACACGCTCTATCTCTGATATTGAGCACTTTATCCCATAAATATAGCACACCTTTAAGACTATATATTATATATATATATATATATATATATATATATATATATATATATATATATTTGAACGTTACTTCAATCCTTCGTCAGATTCCGATCCTTAGCTATGATTAATTAATGATGAACATATCATTTTCGTTTATGATCGATTTCATCACGATTTTTCTGTTAAGTTTGGAGAGTAATTATACATTCTTATTGCTCAATATAGAGTCCAATAGTGTTATAAAAACCTCGGTGAATTCTAGTAATCCCTTTCTGCATTTCAAGTTTTGCCGATTAAAGGACTGGAAAGCATGGAACCGGGTGTTCCACAAGCGAGAAGTGCGACAAACAAAATGTTAGCATAGAACTGTTGGTAATGATACCTGAAACCAGTTACGGGGTTATTCGCATATCACTCAGCAGAGCCTCCGTTCTAATGGAGAAATCAAGCATGGGTAGTCTAAATAAGTCGAGCATGGACTTGGAGGAGAAGTTATAAGCAAAAAACTCAACCTTACTTGCTGTAGTTATTAGAGCTTTGAATTGATTGAAGAGGGGAGGAACTGAGGATTTGCTGTTGTTCCGCACGCTCTTGCAGAGCCGCAAGTGTAAGTTTTCTCCCGTTTGACTTCTAGCTTTTCCGCCTATTATTCCGGCACATTCCTTCCGACTGTTTATGCAATAATAACAATTGTTTAGATGCTTCTTCTTTGTGCCATGCCTCTTCAGGATTTTGCCTATCATGGCCCTCCTTCCCTTTCTAGCTTTTAATCTTCTAATTAAAATCTGAAAAACTTGAAATGCAGAAAGACCACATATGGTCCTGAGCCTCTGCTATTTACCTAGAGCTCATTGATAAGATGCAAAGAAGAATTAGCAATATAATATATGGATTAAAATACGTTTTAAAAAATTGGTGGGACCAAAGATTACAATGGCAAATCTTAGCGTCTTTTTCACGATAAACTTCCCCTTACCGCTCATTAGTAATGTTTAGGAATTCTTTAATAATTTCTAAGATACAACGGTCCAAAGCTTAATCTAACAATTGGACAATTTTGCTGTTACACGGTTTGGACAACTTTGCTGTTACACCCGGTATATTAGAAGAGTTTTCCTTGAAATTTATATTTGTTTGATTCCATATGAAAACTTGGAAATTCTCTAACATATTTCAGTGATATGTACTTTTTGCTAAATTTATTGTTTGGAATAGTTTAAATATATGGAACAAAGAAGGTGATAGTTGAAACTAACTCTAGGATTATATGGATTAAATACGTTTTAAAAATCGATATAAACCTCCAGAATCTATCTTACAAATCTATAAACCATTCGACCACGCTTAGAATATTGCTGCCACATATGGTCCTGATCCCCTGTTATTTACCTAGAGCTCATTGATAAGATGCAAAGATGAATCAGCAATATTATTGATCTGGATCTGGCATCTCGGCTTCAGTCATTTTCCCATCGCCTTAAAGATGCTTCCCTGTGCCTTTTCTATAAATACTTTCATGGTAATTGTTCCGATGAACTCTTCCCTATGGTACCTAGACTTTATGAATTTAAGCGCAGTGCTAAACTGGCGACGACGAGATATCATCAATTTACAGTTAAGATGGCAAGATGTAGCCGCAAGTTCTATGCTAGCATTTTCTTTATCGCACTTCTCGCTTGTGGAACTCCCGGTTCCATGCTTTCCAGCCCACTTTAATCTGCAAATGTTGAAATGCAATGTCAATCGCTATCTGCTGTCCTCTTCATTATTCTTTCCTCTTCCCGCTCATTAGTAATGTTTCCTAATTCCTGTAATACTTTGTACTTTGCTGGTTTTACTGCTTTGTATGGGGCGATATCGATTAAAAACAAACAAAAACAAACAAACAAAAAACAAGAAAGAAATAGAAAAAAAACACAAAAAAAATCGATGCTCATATTTGTTTATTTCAGTGAATTTCATCGTTTGTCTTGTAGTTTTCTTTCCACTACTCCGGACCCACATTTGAAAATCGACTTTCAAATGGATTGTAAGCTACTTCCATCGAATCACCTGGAAGGAGAAAATAATATCAGTAATTAAAACAACTTCTTGCCAACATATTAATAATTTGAAGTCCATAAAAGATTTTAGTCATTTACATGCAAAATGCTTACAAATTTATAACGGAAGAGAATGAGGCGCCCATTTCAGATATATATTTACGGATACATTTAATCCCAAATTTATACGCAAAATTCATTAGCTTATGATATCATGCGATTGTCTTCATTGAGTTTTACGAATTTTAAACCAAAATGGCAAAACTGTTATGCCCAGTATTGTGTAAGTTTTCTCCGTTTGGCTTCTAGCTTTTCCGTCTATTAATCCAGCACATTCCTTCCGACTGTTTATGCAATAATAACAATTGTTTAGATGCTTCTTCTTCGTGCCATATCCATTCAGGATTTTGGCTATCATGGCTCTTTGTAGCTTTTAATACATTTTGTCATCACTCCTAAACCATTGCTTCGTCATTTATTTATTCAATCTCACCAGGTATGTTATGAGGTGTTTTCCTCCGTCTCTTTTACCTTCAATCTGTCCTGTGATCATCAAATTCTCCATACTCCTCTTCCTCATTATGTGCCAGAGAAAAGTTGACTGTTTCTGCTTGATGTTAAATATACGTGTCCTTCATCATTGATTTAGTCCACAAAATCTAGTGGACCCTAACTGATGTTATCGGAGTCAGAAGTGTAGGTATTTTTAATGGTTAGAAGATACTCTTTAAAGTCTAGGGCTCAAAGTGGCAACCCACCTGAAAGAGCACGAAAATAATAAAGAAATAAAAATGGGGGATCATGTGGCACATTGTCGGAAATCAGATGTTTCCGTTCACTGTCCCGTTTAGAGCTAGACACAGAGAGTAGCCATCCGTCCGCCAAACCACTCAGGATGGTAGCAGTTGCTCAGGCAAAGTAAGGAGAAGAGTTGAAGGGACCTATATGTCTCCTGCCTTTTGCTTTTTAATTTATCATTTCACCCCAAGCAAGCCGGTAATGCCACTAATACCCAGAGGGTTACAGGGAATGTAAGTCGAAGAATATTGAGAATAGGGAGCATTGAGGAAAGGACAAAAGATGAAAAAGGTTCAAGAAGGCAGAAGATGGCGTTTGACGTTGCATTTAAAGTTTTGAAGATTGTAGTTATCAGGGAAGCAAGAAAATGGAAGCGAGTTTCAAAGCCAGAAGTGCAAGAAAAGAAATTGTTGGAATAGTGGCAGCTGCATTTAGCTATTTCAGCAATAAAAGGGTGGGACCTTCATGTATCATGCAGGTGTCTAGCTGACGGTTTCTATGAAATTGTTCTAGCGATGTATTCGGAGCACCAGTGAAAAAAGCTCGTTAGAACAGCTGCCATGAAAATATTCGTTGAAAAGACAGAAGGAAGCCATATCACGTCGGTGACAAAGTGACTGAAGTGCAGATGCCAGGCCAGAATCAATTGCATTGGAGATCCTTTTTCGATTTTATCAAGAATCTCTAGATGTACAGGCAGGAGCACCAGATATCTAGAGCCATAACCGTTCTTATCCAGAGCTTGATACACAAATTCAGCGATGGCAGAAATTCAGCGGTAGACCTGGCGAAACGGAAACCATATTGTTTGTCCAAAAGGATGTTGAGAGAGGTAAGATGTCTAAACACTTCAGATTAGAACTTCGAATACTTCAGTGAAAAGCGGGAAGGGTCAGACGGTTCTAAAGATTTCTTAAAACACGAACTGCGGAGGAGGACTTCGGAAAAGCTGGAAAGTACGAAGTAGTGAGGCAATTTTTTGTAGAGTTTGGAGAGAATTAGAGCCAATTCAGGAGCCCATTTCTTTATGACGACGGCAGAGATCTCGTCACATTCTCTTGCTTTGTGGGAGTCTAGTTTGGTAATGATATCTGAAAACAGCGACGAGGTTATGCGCATATCACTCAGTAGATCCTCCGTTCTAAAGGAGAAATCAGGCATGGGTAATCTAAATGAATCGAACGTGGACTTGGAGGAGTACTTATAAGCAAAGAACTCAACCTTACTTGCTGTAGTTATTAGAACTTTGAATTGATTGAAGAGGGGAGGAACTGAGGATTTGCTGTTGTTCCACACGCTCTTGCAGAGCCCCCATTAATTTCTAGAACCAAACTTCGTTATTTCATTCTATCAGCAAACAGTATCTTCTTTACTTTGAGGACACGCTTGCACTTATTACGATCAGAGATAAAGAGACATCTGTTATAATCTGGCACAGCCGGAAGATGTGATTCCTATAGCCGGAACATGCAGGTAAGAACCAAGATGATGATCGTGGTTTCACTTTGTAATTCCGTGCTAATGAAAGCTTTGATGCCGGCTTTCACCCAGGAGGAGGCCCCAGTGGCACATTTTTGAACAGATTATTAAAAGTTTAATTCCAAGGAACACCGCGAAGGAAGTCACAGAACAAGTACCAATCAGCGCATTGATAACAAAAATATATTCTGTTGGTAGGAGGTTCTTAGTTGATGGGAGAGCGGAAAGAGATATTTACAGATACTGCCACATGATCATCGTTGTTAAGAGGGAAGACCTGCAGAGTACCACATGAAACAGGGGTAGAGGTAAAGAAGTGATCAAGAAGAAAAGCGTGTCTGTTAGGATTACTGGGGAAACGCGTAGAGAAGTCCAACACATGAGAGATTGAGAAGTTCAGGGTTAGGATAACAGTGAGCTCAATGGCAGAGCGATTAAGCGATGTGGAACAAAGCCGAAAGTATGGGGTACTCAGTGAGGATCGAACTTACTACTCAGTCGTAATTGATCTAGGAAGACAAGATTTCTAACCATTACACCACGTCGAGGTGCCCAGTGATTTTCCAAGCGTAGCTTGAATGTAGCACAAGGCCGAAAGTAAGGGGCACCCAGTGAGGATCGAACTCACTACTCATTCGTAATTGTTCTAGCGAGACAAGCTTGCTAACCATTACACCACCTCGAGGTACCCTAATGATTTTCTAAGCGTAGCGTAGATGTGGCACACAGCTGAGTGTGTGGGGCACCCATTGAGGATCGAACTCACTTTTTAGTAGTAACTGATCTAGCAAGACAAGCTTGCTAACCATTACACCATGCCGAGGTGCCCAATTAAGCCACTTGATATGGTGGGTAATGAAGTCAACAAACACAAAGCTATTTGCAAATGAGCGTAGGAAGATGACCTTGTCTATATTATCAGAAATACTTATTTAGTACAGTCGTGAGAGGAAGAGGAATGATAAAGAGATAGCTGACTGAGTGTAATAGAGAAAGTTGGAGATACATGTAAGAATGGTTTGGAGATACAAGAGAGTGTTCCCTGACCAGTCGGGGCTACTACTAGGCAGAACACTAGGTCCGATCAGGAAATCTAACTGAAATAAAACAATCAACCATGATCGCCCATGTCTTGCAGAGACACGGCACATCGAAGAAGAAGAAGAAGAAGAAGAAGAAGAAGAAGGAGAAGAAGAAGAAGAAGAAGACGAGGAAGTAGAAAAAGAAGAAGAAGTAGTAAAAGACGAAGAAGTAGAATTTTGGAGTAGAAGAAGATGAAGAAGTTGAAATATAAGAAGGCATAAAAGAAGGGGAAGTAAAAGAAGGAGAAGAAGAAGATATAGAAGAAAAGAAGTAAAGGAAGGAGACACAGAAGACGTAGAAGAAGAAGTAGAAAAAGAATTAGAAAAAGTAGAACTAGTAGACGAAAAAGACGTAGAAGAAGAAGAAAAAGATGATGATGATGAAGAAGAAGAAAAAAGATGATGATGATGATGATGATGAAAAGAAGAAGAAGAAAAAGATGATGATGATGAAGAAGAAAAAGATGATGATGATGAAGAAGAAAAAGATGATGATGAAGAAGAAGAAGAAAAGATGATGATGATGATGATGAAGAAGAAGAAGAAGAAGAAAAAGATGATGATGATGATGAAGAAGAAGAAAAAGAAGATGAAGAAGAAGAAGAAAAAGATGATGAAGAAGAAGAAGAAAAAGATGATGAAGAAGAAGAAGAAGAAGAAAAAGAAAAAGATGAAGAAGAGGATGTTAACAAAAGAAGGAGCTCAACATGCCACTGACAAAATCCCACTGAAAAGATCAAGCCTGTTTTTCTTGGTATCAGGTCCACCCGACTATATATATATATATATATATATATATATATATATATATATATATATATATATATATATGTGTGTGTGTGTGTGTGTGTGTGTGTGTGTGTGTGTGTGAAAAGTGTATATAAATATAAATAAATATATATATGTATAATTATTTATATATTATATACGCGGTACTTATTAGAAAGCGCTCAATATCAGAGATAGAGCTAACATATTTTTGGATTGATGTGAGTTTGTGACCCTGGGTTACACGCTTGAAAGCGTGAAACCCAGGGTCACAAACTCATCTATCAACCAAATATATATATATATATATATATATATATATATATATATATATATATATATATATTGAGGAATCGGAGAGCCGAGTTCGAATTCCAGTCGAATCGATTACATTCGCTAATACTCTTGGGAAAGGTATTAATCCTCTTTTCCTCCCAGCTATGGGTAAATAGCAGTACAGACTGGGTTCTATAGTCTTGGAGGAGAAGGACAACTGTGAATTCAAAAACTGTGCACAGTGCACCAGGCCTCTGTATTCGCCTCTTCAAAAAGTGTCGTTAGTTCTGCACAAAGGTGTCTAGCTGACGGTTTCTAGGAACTGAGTTGCATGACCCTCGGGAGAGTTCAACAATATATATATATATATATATATATATATATATATATATGTGTGTGTGTGTATATATATATAGACGCCCCGTTTATTTAAAACAGTATATTTATTTTCGTCTACCAGCCTGAATATTCCAATAATGTTATTAAAAAAAAATATGCGCTCTCCGGAAGGATTCGAGTCTGCGTCCCCCTATGCAGGAGAAACCTTCGTTACACCCGACTAGGACATGAAGGGCGTCACTGATCAAGCAAGACTGAACAGCGCCATTAAACGAAATCCTTCTCATCCCAGCTTCTCGAGAGTTCATATCTGCTCTATTTCGTATCCGAACGTAAACAAAGCAATTTCTAAAGAAGTAATGGGTTTTAATTTATTAATCAGACATATATTTTGTCATTTAAACGTTATTTTTATGGGAGACCCGTATTTGAGTAGATGTTCCATTTATTTTAAACAGTATATTTATTTTAGTCTACCGGCCTGAATATTCAAGTAATCTATATTAAAGAAAAATATGCGCCCTACGAAAGGATTCGAACCTGCGTTCCCCTTTGCAGGAAAAACCGTCATTAGGTCCGACATGCTTTAGAACGTCGACAGTCAAGCAAGAAATATATTACTTCTTTAGAAATTACAATAACAATAATTATTAGGAATTATTAAGAATATTTACTTACCTTTATAATAATCTGTGAATGTAATATACATGTTTGTATTTTTGTTATCCACCGAATAGATTCTCCGGGCGATTATAATGATGTAGATACTCTTTTGGTATTTAAACTGGAGAAAAAAAAGAAGAAGCGTTTACATAAATAATACAAAGACAAAATTCTAACCATATTAGAAGTCTGATAGTTTTTTCGTTACTTATCAGGTCATCCCATAAGTTCTGTCCGAATTAACTTTTTGTTAAAATGAACGAAATTTGAAGAGTACTTTATAATGTCTAATGGAGCTGAACATTATTTTTATGTTTAGATGCATTTAAACTGATGAAATTTTATTTCAGAGAACAATAAAATTAAATTTTCCTGCTAAAATGGAAGTACCCAAGAATCATTTGAGGCACATAATGCTTTATGAGTTCAAAAAAGGAAACTCAGCAGCCGAAGCGGCTAGAAACATTCACTCAGTTTATGGAGAGGATGTGTGAATGAAAGAACTTGCAGAAGATGGTTTACCAAAATTCAGAGGTGGAGATTTCACCCTTGAAGATGAAGATCGAACCGGACGTCCAGTTGAGTTTGACGAAAAGCTTCTTGAAGCAGCCCTTGAAGAGAATCCTGCTTTATCAGTTGAGGAATTGGCAGTGGTTCTCAGTTCAAACCATACAACTGTTCATCGTCATCTTCAACAACTTGGAAAAGTTCCTAAACTTGGAAAATGGCTGCCTCATGAATTGTCTGAAAACAACCTCAAATCCCGAGTTGACATCTGCTCTTCTCTCCATTCTCGCCAACTTGTTTCACCTTTTTTGGATAGACTTGTGACTGGCGACGATAAAATGGATCTTTTATCGAAATGTTAAGCGTCGTAGACAGTGGCTTGGTAAAGGGGAAGAACCCCAGCCACAAGTGAGAAGGGAACTTCATGGGAAAAAGGTTCTTCTTTCAATCTGGTGGGATTGCCAAGGAATAATCCACTTTGAATTCTTACCACCAATGCAACAATTAATGCTCAAATATACTGTCAGCAATTAGAGCATTTGAATCAAGCTTTGAGGAAAAAAGACCTGCTCTAGTGAATCGAAAAGGGGTAATGTTTCATCAGGACAATGTGCGACCCTACACAGCAAGAATCACGTCACAAAAGATCGAAGAACTTGGTTGGGAGAAAATTCCTCATCCACCTTATTCTCCCGATCTTGCTCCTTCAGACTAACATTTGTTTCGTAGCTTACAGAATCATTTGGAAGAAACAGCTTTTGTAACACAGGAAGAGGTTAAAACTGACATGTGTGAGTTCTTCGAATCAAAGCCAAAAGAATTTTACAGTAATGGAATTAGTAAGCTTGTTAATAGATGGAAGGAAGTCAGAGGTAAACAGGGAAAATACATTGTTGATTGAATCTGTAATTAATTGTAACATTTGGTCACTTGTTTTCTTTATTCAAAATTCGGACAGAACTTATGGGATGACCTGATAGTTACCCTATATTTTTATGTGTAAGTCTATTTCATCTATAGTGCGACTACTGAATTTTTCTGGTGAAAAACCCTATTTTTTCTTATAGCTGCGATCTCCAGCTATGGAGCAATACTAGTAAGCCTATCATAATAATATATTGCAGTACTGGGCATCATCCTGGATATATTTTATTGCAAATAAATGGCCTTCATTTTTTTTTGTACAGAGCTATCCGAAAATGGCGAGAAAAAAACCCACTAAGCATAAACTACAATCATCTTAGTCTCTCGCAAAACAAACAATAAAACTACGAGGGAAAATCAAAAATTGTCCACACGCCTGTTTTTTCAATTTATTTCCGCAAAAAAGGTTAAACAAGTACCGTATATTTCCGCGTATAAGGCGACATTTAGGGAAAAAATAGCAAATTTCCATAATTTTTTCTATACCTGTAGTATAAGAGGACCGCTTATTGATTATATAAAGATGAAGTTATTGGGAATGTGGTTACTTCGTGTATCATTATAAATTCAAAGAAAAAGAAATAAAAAAATGATTCTATATCATGTTTTTCCACACACGTTTCCTAAAAGTAAAACCATTGTTTTGTTTACTTTTCATCACGTGATCTCTTCCGAATAGGGATTCTTCTTCCTCTTCTTTTTCTATATCTAAATAGTTGTAAACAGCCAGGTGTACTAATAGCCATTTATTTATACTTCATCGACAATCACAAAATATCGCTTATGATAATGTACTATAATAGTTTATTCCACTTTCAACATTCTTTTGAATATTATGTTATCCAAAATGTCTGTCGTAATTAACAGTACCAAGATGATTATTGAAAGTTTAGCGAAAGATGAAGGTTGCTGTGAACGCAGTCATAACTCGATGTTTACATTTTCTCAGCTGAGCTTGAATGGATATAAGTTGATTACATTGATATTGAATTATTCTTCGAATACGCAATTATGAAGTTATGCCTGTGGTATATAAAGTAGAAAGGGTTTTGCTACTTTGTTATCAGTTTATTTAATAACGTGTATTTTTTCATGTACGTTGCTGGTTATCGCACAGAGGCTGGGGTGAGCCTAACGACAGGTATCACTAGGAATTTAAGGTTTCTTTTTTAGAATTGTAGTATACGATGACCCTCAATTTTTTAAGGGTGATTTTTCGTATCTAAAGGTCGTCTTACAAGCTGAGATAAACGGTCCATCATTTTTCTACACGGCAATTATGCACCGCTTCCTGCACTATTTTATTCGACTGCCTTAGCCTGGTATTGAACTCACACTGTGGGTCCTGTTACTGGATCTAACTAACGCCTTTATCCACTGTTCCTTGTGTCCTTCCTGCACTATTTTATTCGACTGCCTTAGCCTGGTATTGAACTCACACTCTGGGTCCTGCCACTGGATCTAACTAACGCCTTTATCCACTGTTCCATGTATCCTTGAGTTCGATACACGGCTAAAGTAGTGGAGAACTTTCAGAGGGAAATTAACAGGAGATAACTGATAACTGACATTCATTAAACATGGCACGTGGAACTAGAACAGTCTACCCAGTGAGCGAAATAAAGGGTTCAGTTCAACATTCCAGCCACCTGAAGAAGGCCGGAGCGTACAACGGCCGAAACGTTGTAATAAATATGGCGACAAAGATGAGGACAATAGTCCGAATAATGTAAATAATGTTCTAACAAGAAATAAAATTTTATTAAAACTAATGCAATGTAATATTTATCATTTACGAATTTATAAAGAAAGAAATGTGAAAATAATTTTTTATTCATAAATTTATAAATATTTACTAAATTAACAAAATATATAAACCAACTGTAACGACAAAAGTACGCAGGTTTAGGTGGGGGCCAATATAGATTCGACGGAGGAACAACACCCTTGCACTGGCCCTGAACTCTTGAATGTTATTTAATTTAAATATTTGGTGTAGGAATTTCACAAAATATTCAAGTATTCACAGTTCTTTGAAATTCATTTGTTCGTAATTTGAGATTTTAACCTATATGGCCTCTTAATGGTTATTGTTCGTATCATAAATGTAAACAACATTTCTCTCAATTATTAGAAAGTCACTGGCCAAGATGGCGTAGCTCATGACTTTAGCTTCTGTATTAGAAATTTTCAACTAGATTCTATACTTCAAGAAGACGGCTTTGTTGGAATAAAAGGGGTGGCTGGAATTTTCAAAATCTCTGTTCTACAAATATTTCCATGGCAACTGCTCTGATGAGCTTTTGTCTTTGGTGCACTGACTACATGGATTTAAGCGTGCAGATAGATTGACAACTAAGCCTCAACATTTGACCGTTAAACAAGCTAGATACAACCGCTACTTATACACGCACTTCCCGCCTGTTTCGATTTCTTGCTTCCCTGATAACGACACTCTTCGGAAATTTGGACAACGAAAGTGTAACGACAATTGCCATCTCCTGTTTTCTTAAACCCCCTGTTAGCTTTTGTCCTTTCCTCAATACTCATTCTTCGCATTCTCTTTCACTTCCACTCTCAGTAGCCCCTTGCGTCTTAGTAGCTTTATCGCCTTACTTGGGGTGAAACGATTAAAAAAGATAAATAATTTAAAATAATTTTTAGGGTAAAACAATCTGGGAGGTATTTCTACCACATCCCGTATTTTATAACTGACAGGGTGATTTGGTTATAAATCCAGAAATTGTTCTTACGTTGTTCAAATAGATATTGAGTCCATCTTTGGTGGGTTCTGTTTTGCTGAAACAATCATCTTGTCTGGTACAATTTTTATATGTGTCGCAAGCACGTTTATGGCATTTCACGCTATGTACTTGGAAACCGCTTGGAAATTTCACGTTGGATACGATCATGCCCGGGAGTATTCGACGTGTCCATCTAGCAGAAAAAAAAAAAAAAAAAAAAAGAAAATATGAATTAGTAATTGAAATTAAAGTCAAATATATGTTTTGTCATTAAACAGTCTCTTTTCTATAAATATTTTTATGGTAACTGCTCTGAGGAGATTTCCTCTATGGTACAACTAGCAGCATGGCCCGGCGTTGCACGTGCTTGATTCAAAAATCGTACGACTCATACAGCAATCGCTATCACTTGACTTAAAATATTTTTGCCCTTCCCTGCCTTTAAAGGAGTGCTCTTTGCCATGCTGATGTTGCTACATGCCTTACTTCTTGTCTATCTCACACTACGAATTTTTTCTAAGCTCTATACTAAACATTAAATCTGTTACGAAAAAAGAACTAAACAAAATGAACACAAAACGATCAGCTTTAAAAAAAGGACTCGTAACTGCAGTTAACCGAATGAAAAAAGAATGTTAACAACAAATAATTTTTCACACCCAACCCAGTTCTGCGGAATCAGAATCAACGTTGAGTTTAAGCAAGCGAATGAGCCAATTGGAGTAAAGTGCCATGCGGATTAAAATTTTTCCCCACTTGTGACGAATGCAGCTATTGATTTTTTTGCTAGTTAACATTCGTATCAGTCAGCTGTTGGCTCTCACGCTGGCCAATAGAATCTTCCTGCCTATTCGTGGCAGCCAGCTATAGGTTCTCACTCTGGCCAGTAGATAATGGCCGCAAACTACATGAAAACTGCCGTAGAAGCATGATAAAATCGATTATTTCCACTATCGATGAGAGTTGGGAAATGCAAAGTCAGTCTTGGCCTTCTCGCTAACTTGGAGCATGTGCATGCAAATTTTGGTGTAAATCCGTCAAAAATTGCGGCCGTGCATTCGTCACACACACACACACACACACACACACACACACACACACACACACACACACACACACACACACACACACACACACACACACACATCCTGTCTTTTATAGATAGAGATTGCAGTAAGGTCTCATCTTTTAACAGTAGAAATTGTCAGATATAGCCGTAAGTTCTATGCTAAGAGTTTCTTCTCTAGCTCTTACCTCTTCTGAAACTCTCTTCCGGACTCTTGTTTTCCAGATTTGATATACAAATATTTAAATGTAATGTCAATCGTTATGTTCTGTCTTCTTAATTCCTCTTCTTTTATTGTTCTCTCTCCTTAATAGTGTTTTTCTTTTTCTCATCTTCTTTCACACTCAGTAACTCATTGCGTCTTAGTAGATTTATTGCCTTGCTTGCGGTGAAATGATTAAATACAATGTCAATCGTTATTTTTTGTCTTCTTAATTCAGGTTTTCGTTAATATTCACATTCTCGAACATTTAATAATGTCTTGCGTCTTAGTGTCTTTATTGCCTTACTTGTATTGAAATAATTAAAACAAATGGACAAACGTTGATAAACGCGCCGGCAAATGTTAAAAAGACGGCTTTTTTTATTGACATCATTGTTATTTTTACTATCTTCAATCCTCGGCAATGCTTATTGTTTTAAAAAAGCGATGACTAGAACTTTAATAAAACGTAAACATGATAAAAGTGAATTCATACATTTTTTTGTTCTTAAAAATTTACAACAAAAATAGGAAACACTATTAATTATTAGATTGTTTATTTACAAGAATGATTTTATATTTACAATATTCTAAAATGTAAATTAGTATTAAAACTAATGTAATGCAATATTTAACATTAAAAAATTAAAAAAAAATAAATACGGAAACAATTTTTTATTCATTAATTTACTAAATTATAAAAATACGTGAACCAACTATAAGGAATTCCTTATTATTTACCATTTTATAAAGTTCGAATCAATTGACAATTAACCGATATTTTGTAAACCAATATAATACATAAATAGTGTAATTAATACATTATGAAATGGACAAAGTCCGACAATTATTTAAAGACATTTTTTATTTTAACATTCTTTTTATAGATACAAAGGACGAATATTTTCTATGAAGATTTCTCGGACATTCAAGCCGGTAAATCTTATTTAATACTGTTTATTATAAACAGAGCATTTACAAAAATACTTGTATCTATAAAAAGAATGTTAAACATAAAAAAGTGTAATTAATCGAATAAATAGTGTTTATTATTTTTGTTGTCAATTCTCAAGAACAAAGAAAATGTGTAAATTCACTTTCATATGGTTAATTATATTACAATTTTAATTATCGTTTTTTTTTTAAAAGGATAATCATTGCCGTGGAGTAAATGTAGTTAAATAATAGCGGTGTTAAGGGAAAAACACCATCTATCTTTTTTTTTTGACGGCACGTTTATTCATGTTTGAAAATTTCACAATTTAATTTCTGTTAACGATTTTCTGATCCTTTTGTGAATCAAACACAATTGCCAGTGAAGTAATTAAGTAAGTTCATACTTACCGGAAACAAATAATTATTATTAAGCGTCGTCCTAATTTAGATGACACTGTGACAACAAGGCCGAATTTGTCATTTGTTTCAAAGAGCACATTGTATTGCCAGGGAACCTACCAAGAGAAAATGTTCTTCATTAGAATACGAGTCATCGTCAGAAGTACCCGTTTAATTCAGTAACAATATGACAAAAATCTGCATGAACATTGGAAGAACGAAAGATGTCTTTCAGAAACTAAGAAAAGTATTAAGAGATAGGAAAATGCTCTTAAAAATAATGAAAAAAAATGCCCAGTAAAATATTCAACTTTTATGAATGACAAAATCTTGTTTATGAGACTTGTTTTTCAAAAGAAAATTAAAAATAAGTGTAAAAACTTACACTAAGGTATACAACACCATTACCCCTTGCGGTTACATGAATACGCCGAACATCTGATGGTACCTAAGAAAAAATAAAACACAATATATATATATATATATATATATATATATATATATATATATATATAATTATAAAACACTTATTGGTCAGAGTTAAATTAGACCAGGAAACAGTTGTATTAAATAGTGATCAGTGCACATAAATATATATAAAAAATTACAGAACTTTTTAATTTCAAAAAAATAAGAGATCAGACAATCACGTTACCTTAGTTTCAACATTTCGGTATCCTTAGGTGATATTGGCCTATATCTCCTGGGGATACCGAAAGTTTGAAACCAAGGTAGCATGACTAGCTGATCTTCTAACTTTTGATAAAGGGTGTTCTAATAACGTGACCCGATTCTAAATGTGAATTAAGTTTAAGCGCTTAATGATTTTATTTTATTTTTCTTTCAGATTTGGCAGACATTTGGGCGATATTATTTTTCACACATAATTGCCATGACTTAAATAACATGATCTAATAGAGAAATAAATAAATTTTCACCAACCACACTGATTTATTTACTGCTGACTTTGATTCGTCTTAATGAAACACCATTATATATAATCCGTCTTAATGAAACACCCTTTATAAATATATATATATATGTATATTGTTGTAACCTAGACAAGGTTACTGAATGAGAAATAACCAAAATGGAGGTTGGAAATGAAATGGTAATCGTTATAACATCAACAAATTACTATACTCGCCAGCGGCGTGATGTAGGTAAAACACTGCTAGTGGTGGACTACTTAGACAGCATATTAACTCCACTTATAATAGTGTCCAATGTATTTATGAGGATTGGGACATACCCATTGTGTTCATAGGTACGGTATATATAATATATATATATATATATATATATATATATATATATATATATATATATATATATTACAAAAAAAATCCAGCAAACAATAACATTTACTCACGTTTTATTTATTAGACATTAAATTACATCACTTATCCTCCACAATTTACCTTAACCTTCCAGTTAGACCCATGAGCGTACTTAAAATTTAAAAACTAAAGATATTTTTTACTTTTGTTTATAAATGGTAATAGTAATATTTGCCGTTTCCCTATAAGGAAATATTTGATATTCATTGACGAGCAGCCAGTGTCGCTTTTGATTGTAATTTATAAAATCTTTCTCTTGAAACACTTTTTTCTTGTTTAGGAAAACAGGTTTCTCAAGTCCCGTAGCTGTTATTGCTCTTTCCACTTTTGATGAGGATTTCCTTCCTAACCTTTTATCTGGAGTGGTGTAGAATGTCAACATCATGATTATATCATTATTTTATCATTGAGTGACATGTTATATCTATTTTAGTTGTTGCTGCTGTTGGTAGTCTTCAAGAGATGTGGTTTCTGTAAATTTGGTATAGTTCTTTGTTTGTGATTCTATAGCGCCAGTCCACAGTGTTCAAAGAAAGATCACCTTTGCCAAGACACTCAGGCTTTATTCACTGAAAGACTTTTTTCACCATTGATCATAGGCAGCGGTTGTATACAGCTGACAGATTAGACATTTCTGATACGTTTTCCTTTTGACATATATAATCGACTCTCCCGTCGCGTTCGACGTATGAGGGTCAGGCCGATAAGTCTCCAGGAAACCGACATCCCGACACCGGCACATGAGATTTGATTATAGTGGTGAAGGCCACGTGCAGGACCAGCCACACTTTTTGGAGGGACGAATACAGAAACCTGGTGCACCGAATGCCACAAGGTTCCCAAACGACCCTCCGCAGGTTTTGAATTCAGAGTTGTCCTTCTCCTAGACCAGTTGCCATCCAAGGCTATAGAACCCAGTCTGTCCTGCTATTTTATCCATAGCTGGAGGGAGATGAAGAGGACATATATATATATATATATATATATATATATATATATATATATATTTCCTTTTTGACATAAATATATATTTCTAATACGGTTTTCCTTTTACACACACACACACACACACACACACACACACACACACACACACACACACACACATATATATATATATATAAAATATATTTTCTGTTTATACGTTATTTTTATAGATACAATTTAAGTAAATGGTTTGTTTTTAATTAAACAGTATTACCGGTCTGAATGTTCGAGGAATTTCGTAGATTGTATGTATAAAAACCGTAATTCAGACATTGTTAACCAGACGCTTCTCTGTAGCTACATGGTATAGCATGTCAGATCAAATGACGGTTTATATCAACGAGACAAAACGGTAATTTTATTAAGTAGCTTAAAGTGTCTCTTTTATTTTAACTTTATCGTTTGCCATTTTCTACATCTTTGTTCACGTATCCAGTCCATGGTTTTAGAGAAAATGTAAACAAAAACAACAATTATATTGACACGAGAGAGAGAGAGAGAGAGAGAGAGAGAGAGAGAGAGAGAGAGAGTTGAAATTTCTAGCGTCCATAATGAGGAAAGAAGGCTTAGAAAATTTGACACTCACAGCACATATTGAAGACTAGAGGGACAGAGCAAAACAACGCATAACCACAGCTGTGGGTGTTGAGCAAACACAATAGTGCCTGCAGGGATTGGCTAACCGCTTTAGCGGACAGGCATACCCGGATACGATTGGTCAGCAATTACATTTTAACGTGTAATATAGATTCGCTCCCGAATAGTTATTAACAGCAATAATTAATAATAAAATAGCATATTTATAACAATATAGCATCACAAAAGGGCTTTAATGAAGGATGTGGGACCGAAATTCGAAGGCGCATTGGGATATTGAAAGATACCTTCTAAAATCTAAGCAGAGTATTAAGAAACAGGAAAAGCTCGTTAGAAGCAACGAAAAGACTTATGTAATATCAGTTCCCCTATATGACAGTGAATGCTGGACAATCTCCTCAGAGATGAAGAAGAGACTTGAGGTAACAGAAATATCGTACTACAGAAGGATACTGAGAAAACTATGGGTTGAATATGTCAGCAACGACGAAGTTTTAAAGAAAATGGAAACAAAACGGACACTTATAGTTAACATCAGAAAGAGACAGTTTAAATTTCTAGGGTTCATTATGAAAAAAGAGGGCTTGGAAACTCTAACACTCACAGGACACACAGAAGGCAAGAGTAATGAGAGGAAAACAACGCATAGCCTATCTAACAAGCTAGTGTAAATGGTTTGCAAAACAAAGATTAAGAAAGATAGCGAAAAGAGAAACTTTACTAAGAGCTACAAAGGACAGAAAATTGTGGAGAGCCACAGTCGCTCACGCCCTGAAAGGACACGGTACATAGAAGATGAAGAACCGTTTCAGAAACTACTTTCTAATTTTACAGGATTCGACAGAAATAATTCCTACATTTTAAACTCCCACCTGTATGGTGCAAGTGAACTTAGCCAAGTGACAATGCCATCTTCATCTAGTTAATGTCTTATTTTTTCACATATCACTATAGCTTGGGCCGACGTACATCGTGCGTTTGCTGTTAAAACGTTGTATAAAGACTGGTGAATCTGTAATTGCAACACGGAGATCTTTTCGTGCTCATATCGGTTTAATTTTCTTAGGCTTTTAAATTTAACGACTATTTTAAATACACATTTCTTAGCCCTTTGAATGTAACAAACATTTTAACGACATTTCTTAACCCTTTAAATAAAATAACTATTTTAGAGATGAACTTCTTAGGCCTTTGACTATAACAACCATTTCAAAGACAAAGTTCTCTAGCCTTTAACTGTAACAACCATTTTAACGACATTTCTTAGCCATTTAAATAAAATAACTATTTTAAAGATGAACTTCTTAGGCCTTTGAATATATCAACCATTTCAAAAACAAAGTTCTTGTTCCTTTAAATGTAACAACCATTTCAAAGACAAATTTGTTAGGCCTTAAATGTAATTACCATTTTAAGTAAAAATTTCTTAGGCCTTAAAATGTAACAACTATTTTTAAAGACAATTCTTTTACACAACTAAATGTAACAACAATTCTAGCCCATGATTGTGTCGTCTTAAGATCTAACGATTATTTCTAACACAGATTTCTGACGTCATAAAATGTAACAACTATTTCTAACACATATTACTGATGTCTTAAAATGTAACGACTATTTTTAACAGATTTCTGAGGTCTCAAAATTTAATGACTACTTCTAACATATATCTCTGGCACCTTAAAATGTAGCGTTTATTTTTAAGACGAATTACGCCATTAAATGCAATTAATATTTTAAGGATAATTTTCTCGTGTCTTTAAGTGTACCGACTGTTGTTAAGACAAACTTCTTACGCTTTTAAATGTAGCGACTACATTAAAGACAAATATTTTACACCACTAAATGTAAAGACTATTGAATTTCACACGCCTTTAAATTAAACAATGGATCAGGAGTAATAATTAGTGATATATCAACAAACTGTTGTGTTATTTAATATCAGTATCACTTTGCGAATGCATCAGTTCTCGAGTAGGCATAGGTCTCCTTATATTTCAGTTCATTTTATTTTCGTCGTCATTGTAGACAAATTTTCCGGCGAAATCAAGTGGTTTCCCACCTGGTGTTACCCGTAATGTGACACGTTTTCACGTGACAAGTAGGGCATCTGAATCGATCTTGAATGTCAGTACACGAGAGTTGGTCCAGATGAAAAAGGAAGGCCGCCGAAAACGTCACAGGTAGGCGGTCGTGTATGCACGCCCAGTTCATACTTCGTCTTCGTCGCTGAGGACCGTTTTTCAAAAGTGGACCGGTTATAGGCATGGCGAATGAGTTCTCGGGTGCTCATTAAACAAACACATGAACGATACACTATTCTCGAAAATCCTTTGGATGGCTAAAGAGGAGAATTCACCCAACAGTGCCAGCAACGTCGTTGAAGACGTCACACAGAGAATATTCCTTTAACTGTCATCCAAGAGCGTCAACAGGTAGGTGGTTATTTTTGGTAGTGTCTTACGCCCTTGTATAGTATCGGCGTATTTTATTAGTGTCTTACGCCTTTGCATAGTATCGGCGTATTTTGACGGTGATTAACGCCTTTCGATGTTAGCAGCGTATTTTTGGTAGTTTTTTACGTCTTTGCATAGTATCGGCGTATTTTATTAGTGTCTTACGCCTTTGCATAGTATGGGCTTTTTTAAGCATTGTCTTACGCCTTTGCATAATATCGGCGTATTTTATTAGTATCTTATGCCTTTGTATAGTATCGACATATATTATTGGTGTCTTACGCATTGACATAGTATCGGCGTATTTTATTAGTGTCTTACGCATTTGCATAGTATGGGCGTATTTTAGATGTGTCTTACACCTTTGAATGGTATGGGCGTATTTTAGTAGGGTCTTAGGACTTTGCATAGTATAGGCGTATTTTATTAGTGTCTTACGCCTTTGTATAGTATCGGCGTATTTCAGTAGTGTCTTACGCCTTGACATAGTATCGGCGTATTTTATTAGCGTCTTAAGCCTTTGAATAATATCGGCGTGTTTTATTAGTGTCTTACGCCTTTGCATAGTACGGGCGTATTTTAGTAGTGTCTTACGCCTTTGCATATTATCAGCGTATTTCATTGGTGTCTTACGCATTGACATATTATCGGCGTATATTGGTAGTGTATTACGTCTTGACGTAGTATCGGTGTATTTTACTAGTGTCTTACGCCTTGACATAGTATTGGCGTGTTTTATTAATGTCTTGCGCCTTTGTATAGTATCAGCGTATTTTCGTAGTGTCTAACGCTTTGACATAGTATAGCGTATTTTATTAGTGTCTTATGCCTTTGCATAGTATCGGAGTATTTTAGTATTGTCTTACGCCTTTGCATAGTATCGGCGTATGTTAGTAGCGTCTTACGCCTTGGCATAGTATTGGCGTATTTTGGTAGTGTCTTGGGCCTTTGCATATTATCGGCGTAATTTAGCGGCAAGCTTTTTCGAAAGGAACGATAACTAGAAATACCCGTGAAAATTCACTTTTTTTTCCTATTATAATTTCCTGATGAATCTTAATTTTAAAGGTAATGATTGAATATGCTCATGGTGAATTATACGGCAACAAAATATCCGTAGAATTCCCCTATCGCATTGTAACAACTTTAAAATAATATTGCAATAACAATCATAAAGCTGGTCCCCACTTAAATAATAATAATAATAATAATAATAAATGCCCTGATGTTACAATAGACATGGTTCTTCATGACTTCTGACCGTAACTGATTATAGGTGCTAGCAAGTATAATTTTTGTCACGGTGAATTAAGATGAGCTACAGTAAATATCTAGTTTAGTATCTCAGATTTGCTTGTTAATTTAATCTATTAGCTTGAAATTAAAGCAAAAATAAAAACTTCAAGAAAGACTTCAATATTAAAAATTAATTTTAAACCTTCGGTATCGCTTTTCTTTGGAGGTACGTATATAAAAGTATACTTTAATATCTACTTACCTTTTTCTTCTGGACAAGATATAAATTGTTTTTCGTTATAGTTTTGAAACGGTACATAAAACCTTTCTTGGCCTTAATGGTTACATCTGCTTTCGAGGTCTGCTTCAAAAACAATGCGAATTTTGCCATAGCTTCCAGAGCCACAACAGTGTTCTATAATATACAACGGAAATATGATACAATACGAAGATATGATATACAAAGAAAAAAAAGTGAATACAATACGAAAATATGATAAACAAAGATTTGGTAGAAAGATATGGCATACGAAGAATAACTCGATAAAATAATAGCCCTTTACGTCAAATATGTTTTCGATAATTAATAATATCTCGTTTGATTGATTAATTATTAACCAATAAAAATAAATTCAATTTTGAAACGTTTGCCGTAAATTGCGGCGTATAAGTCGACCTCAAGTATTCTAACTCAATATCCCATGTTAGAATTTCATCTGAAATCAAGAAAATATCATCAAAAATCTTTACAATATATGACAAAAACAAAGAGTTAATGCCACATACTTCTGGTGTTAGTCTAGAAGGATGAGTTCTTTTTTAATATACTGTAAATTGCAGCGTACAAGTCGACCTTAAATTTTTTAACTGAAAATGCTGAATTAGGCCTATACCTACCGTATAGGTCAACCTCCAACTATTCAATAGGTACCTTTTCTATAAATTCTTTCACGGTAAATATTCCTTTGAGCTCTTCGCTATGGTACCTGGACTTTATGACTCTACGCGCAGTACTAGGCTGCTGACAAGGGCTCATCAATTTACAGTTGAATTGGTTAGATGTAACCCTAAGATTCTTTTCTCTTACCTCCCGCTTCCGTCTCCATGCTTTCCAGCCAACTTTGATCTTCAAAAATTTAATCGTTATCTACTGTCTTCCTGATCATTCTTCCATTCTGCCGTTTTCGTAATGTTTCTGCTTTCTAATTTTCACACTCAGTAACCCCTTGTGTCTAAGTTGCTTAACTGCGTTGCTCGGGGTGAATTCGATTTTTAAAAAAAGGTTACCATTGGCCCCAAACTTAGGTCTACCGGTAAATAAAGTTAGGTTACAGTATACGAGAATCTGTGTCAAAACTACATAAGGTCACAAAGTTTACTTATATATTGAGACGCTAACCGTAATATCTTTCTATATGCGTTGTATACCTACAACACACCGGTAAGTAGCATATAACGTAGTGTTGTATAACCTACAACACACCGGTAAGTAGCATATATTGTATCGGTATAACATAGCAAACATTTAAAATTCGCCAGGTCTACTGATAAACACATTAGAATTAACATCAATTATAAAATATTAATACCGTAGATTACACATCATAAAAGGTAGATTTTTTTATGCAGTATTTACATTATTCGGACTATTGTCCTCATCTTTGTTGCCATATTTATTACAACGTTTCGGCCATTGTACGTTCCGGCCTTCTTCAGGTGGTTGGAATGTCAAACTGAACCCTTTATTTTGCTCACTGGGGTGGATTTTTCTAGTTCCACGTGCCATGTCTAATGGATGTCAGTTATCAGTTATCTACTGTTAATTCCCCTCTCCAGGTTAAGGAAAGGTTAGTAAAGATGATATATTCGACATTGTGAAAACTGCTTATAACTTTTATTTCGAGGAAAGAACGTGAACGGCCACTTTAACTTGTTAACAATAAGGAGAATATATTTACACAATACAAATTTTATTTGGGATATTTTCCAGATATTTTTCTTATATTTTTTCTTCCAAAATAGATATTGTTTCTTGTAGATAATAATAGCTGGCCACTCGTATTCGAGGATAACCGTCTATTAAGGCAGCTAGCCAATCCCTATTGCAGACGCTCACTCAGGCACATTTGTGTTTGTTCAACACCCACAGGCCCAATCTGTGGTTTATACTGCAACTATGCTATTACAGTTTCTGGGAGAGAGCATGTTATCTAGAGTGATCAACAAGGCCAGCACACCCAAACCCTCGGTCACGATGACTTGTGACTTCGTGCTAGCACAGCTATCGACGGTCCCCCCAAAATGTTCCGTCTATGCAATTTCATTCGTAAAGCTTGGGTCAACCCGTGTTATGGTTTTCAAGCACTTTCCAAAGGTGCCGCACGCTGGGATCGATCCCACCAATCCGATAACATCAGGAAGTCTCCTTCATGACAAATCGACTATGGTGAGATTCGAACCCCCGGCTCTCAGAAAGCGAACGTTCTAACCACTAGGTCAAGCGCCCATAGATAACAAGCCAAAGTAAACCCGAATCTGATTATACAGTGTAACCCGGATTTTCACTGGTCCCAAATTAGAGCCTGTGTTAATGTATATAAAATAGACCAAACCCGGATATAAGAGAAACCCGGATATAAGAGAGATTTTATCTGGTCCCAAATTTGAGCTTGTGTTAATGTATATAAAATAGACCAAACCCGGATATAAGAGAAACCCGGATATAAGAGATATTTTCTCTGATCCCAAATTAGAGCCTGTGTTAATGTATATAAAATAGACCAAACCCGGATATAAGAGAAACCCGGATATAAGAGAGATTTTATCTGGTCCCAAATTAGAGCCTGTGTTAATGTATATAAAATAGACCAAACCCGGATATAAGAGAAACCCGGATATAAGAGAGATTTTATCTGGTCCCAAATTTGAGCTTGTGTTAATGTATATAAAATAGACCAAACCCGGATATAAGAGAAACCCGGATATAAGAGACTTCTTCACCGGTCCCGACAACTCTCTTATATCCGGGTTACACTGTATTTTGTTTCAATATCTTTACCCATTGTTCATATACAGTGTAACCCGGATATAAGATACCCGGATATAAGATACCCGGATATAAGAGAAACCCGGATATAAGAGAGATTTTCACTGGTCCCAAATTAGAGCCTGTGTTAATGTATATAAAATAGACCGAACCCGGATATAAGAGAAACCCGGATATAAGAGACTTATTCTCCGGTCCCGACAACTCTCTTATATCCGGGTTACACTGTATTTTGTTTCAATATCTTTACCCATTGTTCATATACAGTGTAACCCGGATATAAGAGACCCGGATATAAGAGAAACCCGGATATAAGAGAGATTTTTCACTGGTTCCAAATTAGAGCCTGTGTTAATGTATACATATAGACCAAACCCGGATATAAGAGAAACCCGGATATAAGAGACTTCTTCTCTGGTCCCGACAACTCTCTTATATCCGGGTTACACTGTAACAATAATATTTTGGTTTTTACCTGCGTATTGGAATAT